TCGGCGCGTGTGAGCAGGCCTTTAGTCTCTTTGGATTTCGAGAAAGCTCAATATTGGCTCCTGATCTCGTATGGCGTTTCCGAGGCCCCCTTGGACAACTGGCGTTTCGCGTGGACGAACAAAGATCTATACTCTTTTGGGCCATCATCTGTAGAAACGATTTCCGTAATAGGCGATTTTTTTTTAATCTAGATTTTTTTGAGAACCTCAAGATCAATGGTCTGGACATTCTCAGTATGTTATCGAACGTAGGATTTGTGAACGTGATTCCCTAGCCAAAACGACCGGTGTTGGTGAGTGATAACGAACATAATCATCACATCGTGTTACGGGCGTCAACGTTTATAATCAGGTTAGAGGTAATATCAGAAAAGTTTTGGACAGCTCAAGAACCGCAGGCCTACAACGGTCACGCTGCTTGCTTTGCGAACTTTGGTGTTCTTATCAGCCGAAGCCGCATTTACTGGCTGCGAAGAGATAAGAAGATGCTCGCCACTTGCCACGTTTCTTAAAGGTGGTGAGCCGAAATTTGTATTTCAAAAAAACAATGCCGGAGATGTAGGCGGGACGCTACAATCCCTACAACTCTACTAGTAAGGCGATATCTCAAATGGACGGCCGTATTTTTGGAAAAAGAAGTCGAGATTGAACCAGGCCGACGAGGCGCGTGACGTCAAGATACCTAGGCTCCTCCTCTCTTCGCTTCGCTCCCTCAAGGCTGCGAGTTGAAGAAGACGCGAGGCCGTTCCCTCTCCTTCTCGGAGAAACATGACGTCAACATTCCTGTCAAATGCGCCTCTTTTTTTTTTGAAAAATACGGTCATCCGTTCGAAACATCGCTGTATGAGTGATGTTTTGTTGTTTGTAGCATCCCGTTGCACGCTTCTGCCGCGCGTTTTGGGGAATCCAGATTTCGGTTCGCTATCCCTTTAAAAGGCAACTCCGGTCACTATTTTCAAATTTGGGGTGACGATTGTTTTCAACTCAATCAGTGTCCCTGAATTACAAGGTATAATTTTTCCTCATAGTTTTATAAATATCGACGCTCAAAGTGACTTTTCGGACGTCCACGGCAAAGCCAAAACTATATGCTAAAGAGAGGGATGGCAACACTGATCATCACGTGTATGGCCGCCACAACTAACTGACACAACTCGGAACAGGCGGGAGAGAGGAAAATTGGTACTCCCTCTAGTGTGGGTCCGTCCCAAAGTCTCCACCCTGTCTTTTTCCAGTAAGCCCGATGCCGGGAAGCGTAACGCCGACTAGGTTTGACCATATGAAGATTGGCGACTCCCTCGCCGGGGGAGGAGGCGAAGGGTGATGTTTTAGTGTTTTTATCGCCCGTTCCCCCAAAGGCCACCCTGGTGATAGTTACGAAATTGCAGAGGTTAAGCAAATTGCGAAGGAAGGAAAACATACCTTTGGTACTTAATTTATAGGCTAGGTGGCGCAAGCTACCGCCCGTTATAAAAAGTACAGCCGTTCGCATCCATCCATCTAGTCGCGACGTGAAGTCACGGTGGTGCTGCGGTATGCGTCGCCAAGTGTTGCTTGACTAAAAGCTAGCCACTCGCCATCTTCTAAAGAGCAGCTGGTCGCATCTTTAAAATCGGTTTTGGTGGAATACGCGGCTTCTCTTTGACGTAATATGCCGGCTGTGATCGTATTTCGTGCCACTAAAGCGATACCAGCCATTTATTTTGGTTTCGTTTTCGACCGGAGTTGCCCGCTCTTGGCGACTATAGCGGATCATTATTTCGTTGCTCGTCACACTACGCCCGATCACTTCGATTGAACGAGCGACTCGAGAAATTTGACGGACTGGTACCGGAAAGATTTGTTACTGAATGTAAACTGTGATGAAGTACCTTCTTTGAAACTCTTAAAGCAAACAGGCCAAACAAATATCACAATAGAGAGTTTTAGTAGATCGTGTTTTCAGGCCACGCTAATCGTAGCGGGAGCACGCGCTGCCGCTTCGATGCATGCTCTGAAGCGCGCGCTTGTAGCGGTAGCGGGCCTTTGAAAACGGTCTACTAAAACTCCCTATTGAGAAACGTCGTGGGGAATATATTTCGTCGAATTCAGATCTGTTATATGTGTGCCGACTGATGTCAAGATGTATTGTGGAGAAAATACGGGAGCTCTCACGGAAATGCGCAATTGAATACTGAATTGCTTTGCACGCGTACACATGCACGTGCTATGATTCGGGCAGGCAAATAAATAAAAGTAACTACTTTCGATGCCACTTCCATCGTGCAGGATCTTATGCAGAAATTACTTGGTCCTTGCTCGAGACTTCTTCGTAGAAATGAGCACCAGTAGATGCGACGTTGGAAAAATTTGTTCGGTTGCAGATGCGTTCGATGCATTTTACTTTTTTAGATGAACTACGCATAACCAAGCGTGGCATCAGCTGTTCCTTCTAGAATGTGAGAGGAGGACCTGAAACCTCTGTTCAGTTTTACGTCAAGCGGATCGCTTGGCGTTCATAATGTAATACCCCTGTCGGACGGGAAAGTAAATATCATTTTGATAAAATGTCATTCACCGCTCGGCGAATCAACTCGTGATCCTGGTTCTGCACGTGGCGCGTGCAAGCCCTGGGTGGCGTATAAAACACGCGGATTGGTCGAGCTGTAATGTTATTTTTGCTTAAATGTCATTTAACGTGCCCGTCTGACAGGGGTATAGTACCCCATTCACACGGTCAACATAAAGGTACCTTTAACATAAGTCCCTTAGCTATCAGCGAATCAGCCCGTCCTCTTGGGTCGCGAGAACACGCCACGCGTGGAAGATCGTTAATTGATTGGCCGCAGAGAATAAAGGTCCCTTAGCTAAAGGCTAAAGGTACCTTTACGGACGTGTGAATGGGGTATAAGACTGAATAGTCTTGGCCGAAATGTTGATGCATTGAAAAACGTCCTTCCGCTCTTGTTCAGTTGTTTGATGACAAAAATAAAGATCACAGATAACCTAAAAGCTGCGAAAGCCATTTCAAGATTAAGATGACACTTAAAGGTGGAAGTTATTGACTCATCTCGATTCTGCCATGCAAAAATCGGGCTTAAGAGAAAACAAACATCAGTTCCAAAACGTGAGCCCATTTCATGATAAGTCTGGAATCACATCTGACGAACAATGCGGATCTGTCAGTAAGCGGGGAACGCAACTATAGTGCTCGAAAAATTCGAAATATTTTGCAATATCCATTTGAAATAAAAAAAAAGTACTCTGCCAGTGCCTTTTTCGTCGATGTGTCAAAAGAATTAGACAACGTTAGCCATGGCGTTCTCTTAAAAAAAATTTACCATGTTGGCGTCCGCGGTTCATTGTTAGTATACTACTCAATGAATAAATGAACGTTCTCCACCAGTTTAGCACTGTGGTGAGTTGGACAAGTTCGTATTGACACATAATAAAAAAGAAAAACAGCTCACAAAGGAGAGGACAATAGGACTTGGTGCGCTGTTCTTCATCATGTCAACCAGTTCATATATGACACACACGATATTCGAAAGTCGCTTTAGAATGCCGAGTTCCACAACGCTTTTTTCTCTCTTTCTCTCTCTCGTTAGCTTTCGATGCTTCGGCAATGACATGTCAAATGCAATATTTGATCGCAAACTTCGTCAGTTTGGCTATGCCGTCAACGTCGGTAAGCCTGTACAGTCGACTACTAAGATGCCATTTACATATGGGAGATAAACCTTCCTTCTCAAAAACGCAACCAGACAATATCTCAAGGGTCCGTCCGAGTAAAATGTCTTACAATTTTATTTAAAAACGCGTGCCGTGTGCTTCCTTATAGATTGAGAGTCCTGGGGGAGCTCCTCCCACCCGTTTCCACTTTGGAGAGGAGGCGATGTCCTCACTAGCGTTCGCTCAGCTAAAGTGAAAAGAGGTGAGAGAAGCTCGCGCTGACCTCTTCTCATGTCACCGACTGTAAGTCGCTATTCTTGCATTCGTCAGTTTGGCCGTCGTGTGACTACCCCTGTTGATTATGTTGACAATGTAAAGTATCTAGGCGTGGAATTTAATTTTGACCCGCCACGGAACTCGCAGGTGTGTGCTTATAGTAGTCAATTGTATAATACAAGAGCTCCTGTTAAACCAAACGTTAAAAATATGGGTTCCGAATATACAGTCTTTTCAGATATGAAATAACAATTGCGGATGAATTCTGATATGATGCAATCGTCAAAGAACTGTCTCAAACAGAACAAGGGGGAAGTGCCGAAAGTAGTCTTCCATGCTCGTTCATTCAAACGATTGTTTTAAGACGTTTCTGGAGTAGCAATCTCAAACTTCCTCACTTGTCACCTCGGACATTCCGACGCATACAGCTCGCTTTGAAGCGCCAAAAGTATTAACAAAGTACGGTAGAGAACTAGGAAGATTTTACGTGCCAGGTAGTTTTACCTCTCTCCCTAAGAGCATGTTGGACTCCGAAAAAAAAGTGAAACAGACACGAAGCTTATGATTATGCTTGTCTTGAGTCAAATAGGCGCAAACAGTTACTTTTATTCCTTTCATTTTTTTTTTATTATTGTAAAGTGTAAGATATAAGTTCAACTTAATAGACACTTGTAGTCCGTCCCGGATTATGGCATTTTAATGTTTCGCAGGCCGGCTGGGTTTCAGTATCTCAAATAAAAACATCGCGAAAGAAAAAAAAAAACAAGAAAAGAACGATGTTTTGTTTCGAGACGCACTACCAGCTAACCCAGGTGTGTACTATACTAGGGTTTCCGTACCACAAGGGAACTTGCATTAGCTCACCGGGTACCATGGTATGCGTTCATCGAGAATAAGCGATCTATTACTGCTTCGTCGTTATTACTAGTATCATTGAAGTCAAACAGGCCGGGTCACCTTGCAGACACGGTCGTGAAGACCCTGCCTTCCGGCACCGTGCCTATTCCCAAAGACAGACGCGAGATGTCACTTGCGGGCGCCTTCCAAAATCTAGGGTGTTGCCGGCTACTCACGTAGGAGATCATGGGCAGGTTCAGCGAAGCGGCCACGGACGCCTCCACGTAGCAGGAGTCCTCGGGACCGAAGAAGGCCACGGCGCCGTCCCTCCAGCTCTCTATGACCGCCTTCGTACCGTGAAGCATCTCCCCTCGGGTGTCGTTGAAGAGCATCTCAAGATGGTAGCCCGGCAAGAGGCTCGAGTCGTTGTTCACCTGCAGGATGGCGTACGTCATGGCGCCGGACACCACCAGTCCCTGCCTCCTGATGTTGTCCTTGCCGCCCACGTTGCTCAGGTAGCCCACGCGAAGTGGCTTGAGGGGAACCGCTTTCGCAGCTCCGCCTCCGCGAGAGACGCCAGAGTCTCCGGGACCCTCGGCTACTCCCACTACACTAGCCGGTGGGATATCTCTGGTGGGTCCCCGTTGCTCGTCAGGTACACTAGCATCGTCTAGCACAGACACTCCCGGCACTACCGACGACACTGATGACGATGATGGTGGCGACGACGAAGATGACCTAACGGGTCCTGGGTCAGCTGGCGAAGGTTCGGGCGAAGATGACGGTGACACTAGCGGCGATGGCGACGCCTGGGCAGCCGCTTCTCCTCTCTGGGCGTGGTGGGGAACCAGGACAGCGGTGAGGAGCAGCAGGAGGAGGGGCACCAGTGAACCGGACGCCACTGGTACCCCCGCCGCCCGAGCTGCGGCCCATGGCTGCGCAACGCGGCGGCCAGTGGGGAGGGAGCCGCCGCCTCTGCTGCGCTGGCCGGGCCCCGGGCTGCGCACCAAGACAGGGACGAGGGTGAGGACACGTGAGACCAGGATGTTTAGGCCACAACCTACCATCACTACGAAATAATTTTAGAAAACAACTAAACATCATGTATCTTCAGCCGGAGTTACACTGCTAATACAACATATGCCATAGATCATACAAACGACACTACGACATCTCCGCACACGCCTCAGGCTTGTTGGAAGCACGTTTGCTTCATACGTATGTATGCTTCCAGCATGTCTGACAACAGTCTTTAAATGACTAATGTAACTGTCATAGAAGGAACACGCCTCAGGCCGCGTCTGCAGACTGTCGGTTGGATTATGTTTAAGCCGCGGACGACGTTTAAGGCGTGTTTACGCCGTAAAAAGACGAGCCTTTATCTACATTGGCGCGTTTTGTCGTTGCCTTTTTTACAGCGGAGCTGTTAGGGCTAGCTTCCCCAGGATCGTGTCCCCCGCAAAGAAATGTCGACACAAAACTCTGGTTGCCGCCGTCGCTCATAGATGGCGGTAGCTGTCCAGAGTGTTGTGCTTGCCGGTCGTCCACTTGCCGCCGTCGCTCATAGATGGCGCAACCTTTCGAGCCTTTCCACCCTGGCTTGTCGACTGGCGGCCGGCCATTACTACATTCCCACCATAGTACAGCTTCGCTGGTCTTCCTTCTTCACCAAAGTAAAAAGGCTAAAAGTTTTTCTTTGCAGCGCATAAGTGTTTTATTAGTATTATCGTTACGATCTGTGCGCCCGTGCAGAGAGAACGGGATAAGCCCCACTTCTGCCCACGCCCTTTATACGTAAGCACGGAAGAAAGGAAGTGCATTTCAATTTGAATAATTGCAACAACGACACTTCTATTAAAAGGCCCGAAAAGGATCCCCTAAAGACGTGACCCTTTCATTGGACAGCCAGACAAAGGGACGCAGCGATCAGTCCCGACCGCGACGTCACGTTTGGTCGCTGGGAGAAATTGTAGGCAGAAGAGAAACCTGGTTCATGGAAAATGCTATTTCAAGTTTTGAGTGTGAAACTAATGAGGCTTTTGTTTTCTTTTGCTATTAGCTACAGTGAATCTGGGAAACGCTAGTCGCACTTTACGGTTGGTACACACACTGGCGTCCGAGTGTGGCCGACTTCGTCGCTACCGGCACACTGGGGCCATCTGGGAAGCAGTCTTGAAATACTTCCGATTCGCGTATAAATACACCGAAAATATTGCAGCGTCTGCGATATCAAATCCATGCACAGTCCGAGAAATGGTCACTTATAAATAATATCGTCGGATTCATTTCAAGCACACGACGAAAGCAGGACGCGCAAAATATACGCCAGAACGCGGCTGTTCCAGGGTTGCCGGATAGGTGGCGTCGGCGTGTCCTTTGGTCGTAAGCGGACAGAAGGGGTTACAACGAAGTGCATCACGCTCCAACGCAAATGTGTGAACGTCGAGTTTCTGCGCCGAATCACAGTAGAACGAACGTGTCGCCATCTTTCATCCTGCTTTTAATAAGGAAATCCGACGCGTGTCCCCCCCCCCCCCCCCCAATCAAATATTTTATTTTACTTCTTTTAGAATGCCTAGAGGGCGTAGATTGAATTATGACCATAAATAAGCGATCTCAGAAAACATATCAATGCCCCCCCCTCCCCCAAATATGAATGAATATAAAATGCGAAAACTTTTTGAGGCCTCAAGTGACCTTGGTCACAGATTAGGGCGGCACCGGACGTCGTCAGGTCCAGCGGTCGTTGTCGTCCCTCAAAAGGCCGCAGGCTCTCACAATGGGGCAAAGTGCCAGCAGGGCGTCGCACCATTCTTGGTGGCCATGCTCTATAATGAAAGCCTGTCGGGCTTAGCTAGACTGATGACTGACCTTCACGGAGGCATATACTGCCCATTTAACATGTGCGGATAAAAAACAAGCCAACAAACAAAGAGAGTTGTCGAGGCACGACAGTTTGGCCCTGTCGTGTCTTATATAGACTCGAATCAGGTATACGCAGCGCGACACCGTTAGCGCGAGCGAGCTACCGACGCGGTTTGAATGGCTGTCATCAAAACTACTAGAGTGGTGGAAACCGCTCAGTAAGGGTACTCACCCGAGTGGTAAGTCTTGACGCCTGCCTGTCAGTACCCTTACTAGGTAAAAATCTTAAAAGGCGCCCAAGTCGAGTTCGGGCTAACAGTCTCGGCCGATGTACCTGCCAGCAGTGACGTCACAGCGTTTTCGGTCGCGGACATATACGCGGGCACCATTCGCACGGTTATGTGTAGAGGCCAGAGTCCGGTCGACACGATTCGATCGAACTGATTCATCCCAAACAAATTCTATTTTCAGTCGATAATGCGCACTGTCCCGTTCGTCAGACCTTGCCGAAGCCAAAGATTCGTATTTCTTTTAGGTGTTACGCGTGTAAAATAATGCGATTAAAGCAATAGACTCCAAGCCTGACAGATCACCACGAGAAGCGGCCGCCGAAATGGAAAAGGTGACGGAGGAGTGGAGAGCCATGTGACTGGCGCCCCGCTGCGGCGAGATGCCGAAACACACTTCTCCCGAGCGAACCAGTGTGTTTCGGGTCCTCGCCGCTGCAAAAGCTATGCGCTGACGTCCAGGTTCCCCGAGAAATGACGCTTTGTAGCGCTGTGCTACCAGATCCTCGCGCTACAAATCAGCGGCCGGGCACTCTATGGCACCGTTGTCGAACTGCCAGGCTGTGTGAGTGTAGATGCTTTAAACACGCGCCAAATTGAACCGCCATTGCCGACCTTCACTTGTCTTATCGAGATGCCGAGGCACTGAAGCGGGTGTTGACGACCCTCCACAAAGGCCTATGCTGGGGAGAAGGACACAGTAGTACCTAAAGTGGCAATACCCTGTTCTGCTGTGGCAGTGATGAAGGGAAGCGAACGAAATACGAGGAAACAAAAACTGAAGGTCGGTTATGGCGGCACCCATGCACAGTTGCCTGAAAGCGTCTATGGAGGAGGCTATGCCGTGACCTATAAATCCGCCCCTGCAAACATATAAAGACACGCAAGGTGCGGCAGAGTTCCACTTGTGCGTCGTGATTGGTCATTCGGTGATCTTATAGGCCGATGCCGCAATCTGATTGGCTGGCGAGCGATGAGAAGGTGCCTACGTTGTTCGCCAAGCTTCGCATCTCTGAAGCTGGCAGTGACTCGTCAAAGTTGGAGCCAAAAGTTCGGAGAGCGCACCGACCCCGATGGTATCATCAGTCGCAAATGCGTCGAAGCGCGACTTCGCGTGGCGTTACGGTGCCCGGCCGTGGTGTCGCGCGACAAGGTGTTACATGACCTGATGCTCGTCACGGGGTTTCGTGACCAGTAATGGCGCCAGCCGCGTTGCCGACTGACCAAAGATGGCGTCTCGCCTAATTTAGCGGGGCGGTAGAGCGCTAACTCAGTTGTACGTAAGGTGTTACATGCAACGCGCCACTTGCATCTAGTTTGTAACGAAGTAACGACCTAGCTGCCTTTCGAGAAAAGGAACGGGGGACGTCCTTTCGTTACCTTTGATGGAGTAGCGATATTTAGTTGCTCCTGGAGGGGAGCAAGTATGACACAGGTCAAACAATTTGGTTTTCACCTAAGGAAAAGAGTTCCATCTAAGGATCTTACTCAATTCAGGAACATCAAGAAGCCCCCGCCGTCGGCAACCAGGCAGTATTTTAAAGTAAATATAAATTTTTGCTGTTGTCAAGTTTATGTTTTTACGCAGACGCATAACAGAAACACTAACGCACAATTGATTCTTCCAATGAACATATTGCAGGATGCAGCGAATCACAATGTCCAGGATTAAACGCCGGAAGACGGCCACTGCTACAAAAAAAAAAAAAAAACGACGCATTTGTAATGACGATAAAGTAACCTTCTAAGCTCAAGGAACGCGTTCCTTTGGAATTTCGGCAACAAATTGCGTACTCAATTAATTTTGTTTAAGCGAAAGTCTTGTATGTTTCATTGTTCAGTCGACCTTCAAGGTCCTTGAGCGAAAACACGTCGCCGACATGGAAGGTGCCAAAACGTTTACGTGACCACTCAGCCAAATTGGAGGCAATGCAATTAAGAAGGATGACAAAGTGAATTAAGAGTAATAAAAGTGCATTAAGAGGAAGAAAAGAGAACTAAGAGTTATCAATGGGAATTAAGAAGGACTATAAAGCGAATTAAGACGAATCGAAGTGAATCAAGAGGAATCAAAGTGAATTAAGAAGAAGTAAAGTGAATTGAGGGGAATTAAAGAGAAGAGGACTACGAGGAGTTGTGTGCGAGGAATCTGGAAATAACATTTGAAACAAATAAAGAGAATGTCAAAAAGCAGAATCTGAAAAAAGAGAACGTGAAACAAAGTAAATCATGTCTTTGTCTTTAATGCATTGGCGCTTGGCCTTTCGCCTTCCAGTCGTCTTAGGGACAACCTAATATACTGTGAATTTTCTTTTTCAGTGACGTGTACATGTATGCCAGCTAAACTTGGCCGATGTCATCACTTCAGTCGATATGATACGGCTACCGATATACGGTTACGGCGACGGCTACACAAATCCCGATTCCGCTCCCGTTCAAAACGCATTCGAAATAAGAATAAAAAAAAAAAAAAAAGCTACACACGTGAGCGTTAACGGCCGGCCGAGGGGCCAAAGTTTAATACACGCCGTGCCACAGGGCCACTTCGAGTGGCACTCGGCCAAACGCCAATTGGGGGCGAGCGGTGGAAACGGTTCGCGATCCCGCCACAGCTATACGCGTCCCACGTACGCTGCGATGCGCTCGCTCGGCGACCCTGATGCCTCGAAATGGGAAGGAGTTTAGACAGTGTGGAACGGGTCAAAATCTGAGAACTCGCCAGCGCAAATTTTAATGGCCCGAATGGCCCGGAGTTGGGACGCCGCGACGATGGCGACTCTC